CAAGACCTAAGAGAAAGAAAGCTTGCCACTTGTATTCTAGATAAATAAGCATATCTCTTAATAAGATACATGGTATGCAGTACATTATATATAGCATGTTACAGATCCATAAATATTCTAACCTCACTAAGTGGACAAATTCAATCAAATATTTGACAATCACCTTCAAACGGCTAGGGACAGTACTGCCCTAATCTGTTAAAAGTCTCTTTTTCAACTCTTGGCTTGGTCACCAAGGTGTCCACTCTAAAGGCGCACAGCTAGACATTTAATAAACACTCTAAGATGTCTTTCCCAGCTCATTACTATCTACTTACTTTTTATACACAGATGGTCTATAGGACATGAAATCCCATATAAGGATTACTTATCGATGTGTAGAGGGGTATTCAACTTGAGTCCTGGGCCCAGAGAAAACTGGTATCCCTCTCTTTCAGACATTATGCTGTTTCTGCCCATCTTCCCAGCACTAGCTGTCCTTGTTGTGCATTGCTTAAAATCTCACTGCACCACTGGATCCATACAGTCTTATTAAGACCTCACTTTACCTCCACCTCTCAAGGGACAGAATATATACAGATGACTGCACTTAAGGAGATAAAATTTAAGAGTCGACCATGAAAAGTACCACCTGACCTGGTGTTTCCTTTGGAAAACAGGCCACAGATGCAAGCTGACTGTAAGTTAGGGGATACACCCTGTGGCCACAGAATAAAGATATACCAGTGGAAACTTGGCTTCCTCACTCCTTCACCTATTAAATGAGTGAGTTAGATGAAATTGTCCCAAAGGCTCTTCATATTAAACTCAGACAAGACTCCTGATCTTAGGTCCACCTAGAGAGGACTTCAATGAGCTCCAACTGATAAGACAGATCTTGAACTTTTCCAGTCTGAAGATCTGATATTTTGATGAAAGGTGTAAGAGGTGGGGAAATGGGGCATCCCAGAAAAGTATTTCTTTTCAGTCATAAAAATAGATACTTCAAAATTATATGTGTGTGTGTATGTGTGTGTGTGTGTGTATATAAATATATATATATACACACACACACACATATATAAATGTTGTTATGTGCCGTCGAGTCGCTTGCAACTCACAGTGACCCTATGTACAAGAGTCCTTAACCCTGCTCTATCCTGTGCCAACCTCACTGTCTCTGCCACACCCACTCTCATTACCCTATTCACTGAATCAATCCATCTAATCGAGGGTCTTCTTCTCCTGCACTGTCCCTCCACTTTCCAAAATATGATGTCCCTCTCCAAGGACATGTCCTCCTTGCAACATGTCCAAAGTATGTCAGACGAAGCTGCAGAATCCTTGACTCCAAGGAGCAGCTCGGTTTCACCCTCTCCAGGACAAACCTGTTTGTTCTCCTAGCAGTCCATGGTATATTCAATACTCTTCTCCAACACCAAAGCTCATCCCTAGTCACTGTCCAGCTCTCTAACGCAAAGCACACAATTGCGAAGACTATGGCTCAGATCAGGCACACCTTGGTCTCCAGGCTGACATTGTTCTTCAGTACTCTGGAGAGGTCCCTGACAGTTGGCTTTCCCAGTGCAGTTTGTCTCTTGATTTCCTGACTCCTGGTACCAAAGTGTTGACTGTGGAGCCAAGCAAACTAAAACTGTTAACTATCTCAATCTCTTCGCCATCCATAATGATGCTGCCAATTGGCCCAGTGGTGAGAATCTTTGTTTTCTTGATGTTGAGCTTCAATCCATATTTCAGGCTGCAGTCCTTGACCTTCTGCAGCAAGAGCTTCAGGTCCTCCTCAGTTTCAGCAAGTACGGTTGTGTCATCTGCATAATGCAGGTTGTCAATGAATCTTCCAACAATCTTGATGCCACATTCCTCCCTGTATAACTTCATAATTAAAGTGAACGATTCTAGTTAATTTCAAGATGTATTTCTATACTCATTCCAGTCATAGGATTAAGAATGTAATAAGTATACTGCAACTTTAAAAAATGCAATGTAGAAGAGAATGAGTTGCTGATTTGGAGTCAGAAGCCTTGGCTTTAAACTTTAGTTTCAATAATTATCAATAAAACTATACTGGGCTAATGACCTTCATGCCTGCGGTTACCACCACCACTTCTATCTTATGGGTAATGAAATTCATACCACTTCCCGGACTACTTTGACTCTACCCTATCTTTGAAAGCACTTTGTTGAAAGCTTTATAGAGTATATTGGAGCATAAACTCATTCTACCAAAAACAGGCTCCACTTTCCATTGCCTTTAATATGTATCAAGGGCCTCAAAATTTCATTTAAAGTAAGATGAGACAAGGGTAATAGGCACATGGAATTCATGAAATGTGTGTGTGTGTGTGTGTGTGTGTGTGTGTGTGTGTGTAAATATATGCTTGATATTTTCCATAATATAATAAAGTTTCTTTTTTTAAAAAAAGAAACTGTACTACTCTTTGAATTTTTTTACCTCCTCTTCTCAAGGGAGCTTTGGTGGCGTAGTCCATGGTGAGTTGTGCTACTACTAAACTAAAGGCTCCATCAGTTCGAATCCACTAGAGGCTACTCAAGAGAATGATGGGCCATCTCCTCCAATTATAATTTACAGCCTCAGAAACCCAAGGGAAGGGCCATATAGATTGGAATCAACTTGATGGCCATGAATTTGAGTTTTTAGTCTCAAGTTGTAGCCCCCAGGTAGTATAAATAGTTAACGTGCTAAGTAGCTAACCAAGAGGCAAGCAGTTCTAATCCACCCAGATATGCCTGGGAAAAAAGGTCCAGTGATCTACTTCGAACAGTCACTGAAAACCCCCAAGGAGTATGATGGTGGACTAGACAGATGGCAGTCCAGGCTTTCTTCCATGAAGATACCAAAAAATAAAGGTAATTGTACGCTGAGTAGATTATCCGAGAGGCTGGGCTCTATGAGGAGAAGTGTGACGTCAGGACTGGTGGAAGATCTATCAACAATCAGCGTTATGCAGATGACACAACCTTGCTTGCTGAAACTGAGGAGGACCTCATGCACTTACTGCAGAGGGTCAAGGACTGCAGCCTTCAGTATGGACTGAGGCTCAATGTCAAGAAGACAAAGATTCTCACCACTGGACCTATTGGCAGCATCAGGATGGATGGGGAAGAGATTGAGATTGTTCACAGCTTCAGTTTGCTCGGCTCCACTGTCAACACTCTTGGCACCAGTAGCCAGGAAATCAAAAAGCGTATCGCGATGGGAAAGTCTGCTGTTAGGGACCTCTCTAAAGTACTCAAGAGCAACGGTGTCTCTTAGGAGACGAAGGTGCGCCTGATACAGGCCATGGTCTTTGCAATCACTTGTTATGCATCAGAGAGCTGGACAATGACTAGGGAGGACAGAAGGAGAATTGACGCCTTTGAGCTATGATGTTGGAGAAGAGTATTGAATGTACCATGGACTGCCAAGAAAACAAACAGATTCATCCTAGAGAGGGTTAAACCAGGCTACTCCTTGGAGGCAAAGATTCTGGGGCTTCGCCTGACATACTTTGGACATGTTGTAAAGAGAGACAGGTCCTTGGAGAGGGACATCATGCTGGGTAGAGTAGAGGGACAGCGCAGGAGGGGAAGACCCTCTATGAGGTGGATTGATTCAGTGACTGGGATAATCGGGATGGGAGTGTCAGAGGCAATGCGATTGGCACAGGATAGAGCAGGGTTTAGGGCTGTTGTACATAGGGTCGCTATGAGTCGCAAATGACTCGACGGCACATAACAACAACAACAATGGATTTTAAAAAGAAAAGGCAAAGAAGTACTTCAAATATAAACTAAAGAAAGAAATGGAATAAAAACCTCAAATAAGGAGGCAGAAGGAACACAGAACTGTAAAAAGCAAAGCATGGCCATTCTGCACAGCTGTTCAGTCAGTATGGGAACCAAGGACTTCTGTGGCATCTATGCTAGTGACTAGATTATGACAGGAAAGGTACCCCATGCCTGACCAGTTATCAGGCGAGTGAACTTTTCCCCTCATTACCCATCAGTTCTCTGGCAGTATTCTAGCCCAGCCTACCTTCACCTAAGTCCAGGTCCTGGCCATTTTGTATCAGCACAGGAAACACGCACACCAATCTACATCCAGGAGTCTGCAGACTGTGCTGAGCCCGCTCTGCAGTCAGTTCCTCTGGAGTCAGGAGCCTCTGACTCTAACTGCGCACCCATGCCCGGCATACACAAGTCACATTTGGAGGAGCACATGATTGTTGGACACAAGATGATCATTCCTTAAAATGTTGCTCTGGGGATGTCAAGTAGTACAACCACTAAGGAAAGCAGTTTGGTGCTTTCTTAGAAAACTACATTTGATCTAGAAATCACACAACTACATACATAATCTTGAAGAAATAAGAACTGTAACACAAGCAGAAATACTCACGTTCATGTTCAAGCACTATTTACAACAGCAAAGAGAGAGAAAAAAAATAGATGAATAGATAAACTAGTACATTCCCACAATGAGGTACTGTTGCTGTTGTTAGGTGCCTCTAAGGAACAATGTGGTTACACTTCATTCAAGGCAGACTGGCGTGTTCTTTTGGCATTCCAGCAAATATTCACTACTGTTCTCCAGTATCAGTGTCATCCTTAATCACTGTCCACAGTTAAGAAGCATAGGAAGCAACTAAAAGTATCATGGTGTGGACTGGGTACATCTTAGTCTTTAAACTGACATCCTTGCTCTTCAGCACTTTGGAGAGGGCTGACAAGTCTAATTATCAACTTGCTCTTTTCCCACAGCACCTTGTTCTTGTTTAATAGTTCTTAAATCTTCTTAAACTCATAGACAACAGTAATAAGAATTTCTTCCAAACTCTTTTTTGTTCATTTAATTAACATACTTGGTCCTTGTCAGTCCAAATGTCTGATCTTGCCCACCTGAGAAGAACGAATCGTGTACCACACACACACAGGCAATGTTCCATTACTTTTTTTCATAATGGCAACTACAAAGAAAGTACAAGAAGGCGACAACTTACTTTCATGGAGTCAGAATACAAAATATATTCCCTGAGCACAGGCAGAAAGTCTTCTGTCATGTCATCAGTCAGCTCTTCCAAGGCTGTGGAGCAGTTCCCAATACAGGCGGACACCCCCTCCAGGGGCTCAGCCAGCTCACCCTCTAGAGCGCTCCACGTGGAATACACAGGGCCATATTCTCTCAGTTCAACGAGGTACTCTAAAGTGGAAAGAGAAATCAGTAAGGACTGATGGAGTAGCAAAGACAGGCATTACAACTCAGTAATCACCAGAGGCAAGAGATGACTACACTAATGTGATTTTTTTGGCTGTTCTACAGCTAACATTGTAAGCTCCACTCACTTTACCCCTCAATGGAGCACTATGTCTCTGTGGAAGAAGTCCCCAATGCCTTCTAAGAATAAGTGGTAGGAGCTACATGCACCAAACATGTTCAAAAACAACCAATCATACCTCCATGGAGGAAAAAAAACCCCATTATTTTAATAGGCAACAGGAACAGAGTTACATATGAGTTTAGAGATCTTAAAAAAAAACAACAAAAAACTAACACACACACAAAACAGTGACAATGAAAAGACAATAAAAAAAATCCTGGGAATATCTTGACACAAGAGGTGTTGATTCTGAGTCATAGGGAACCTGTAGGACAAAGTAAAACTGTCCCATAGTATTTCCAAGGCTGTAAATCTTTACAGAGCAGATCTACACATCATTTTCCAGCAGACTGACTTGAGGGGCTTAAATGCTAACCTGTGTGTAAGCCGTCAAGTGCTATGGAATCAGAATCAAGTTTGGTTTTAAGCTGAAGTTCTAAGAGGGTAAGCCAGAGACTTACAGGTATTTCTTTACTATGAAAAAAGCAAACACAGGGGTAAGATACAGGATAAACACTGCAACGAAAAAATTACAGTCTGGCTACAAGTACTTCCTCCACACTTTGAATCTATTTACCAGATGTTTAAGTAAAATATGGGCTACTTCTATCAACTAGACCTTTTTGCAGTTTGAGTCTGAGTCTGCTTATTGTTACTGACACAAATTTCTCTACATGTAGTCCCAGAGCAGGACCCAGATGCCAACAAAGAGCTCACCTATTTCTTCTTTGATAATCCGCTGGGCTATTCGATCAATGGTTCCTAGTTTGAGTGCAAATGTATCTAAGTATTCGCCTATGGCTGCAAACTCAAGAGGCCGACTCCTCAGCTTGTAACCTCCGGTGACGTGCTTGACCGACTCTCCTACTCGGGTCAGCAGTGCCATTCCTTGCTTCTTATAGGCATTCAGGTCCTAAGGAGAGCACAGGAGCAAATTTAAGGCGCTCGATCATACACAGTATCATTCCTATCCATACCTTACCTCAGTCAGGCATCTGCCCTGCCCTTATCCCCTCACTGTAGATTCTAATTCATCACACTGTAAACTATACTCAAAGCATCCATTCAGCCCCTTCTCTTCTCTTTAAAGTCAAGCTGCCTAAAAGAATGATCTCATGATGCCCTCTCCCCTTCTATACTTTCACATTCTGGATAAGAAACAGTCTCAAACTCATGAAGTAATTTTTTTAAGCTAAATAAAATAATGACATTGGCTCATAAAATAAACAATATCATCCATGACTACTGTGTTTTTTTTATGAGACCAAAAGGTCCATAATTATTTCAAAGCAAGTACAAAAAGGCAGGGGAGCAGGGAAACACGATCACTAGGAACAGAACAACCAGAAAAGAAACAGTGAGGAAGCTGACACACTGTGACAAAGACAACCAATGTCAGTGAACAGGAACATAAAAACTGATAAATGGGACATAATTGGTGTGTAAATATTTTTAAAAATCACAATAAAATACTTTGTTGTTGTTGTTTGTTGTTATGTGCCGTCGAGTTGCCTGCGACTCATAGCGACCCTATCTATGTACAACAGCCCTAAACTCCGCTCTGTCCTGTGCCAATCGCACTGTCTCTGACACTCCCATCCCAATTATCCCAGTCGGAAAATACTTTATTTTTTTTTAAAAATCCAAAACTCTCGTAGGCCTTCTTAAAACCATACTCAAGTTCTTTAAATTGTTTCCATAGAAAATATTTTTTCAGGCAGTGCTAGGGACTCTGGTAGCCCAGTGGTTAAGAAGTTGTTTTGCTAACCAAAAGACAGGCAGTTCAAATACACCAGCTCCATGTGAGAAAAGATGGGCAATCTCTTCTGATATGCACCCTCTGAAAACTTCCTGGAGCATCAGCTATGAGCCAGTTCCAACCCCATGGCAGTGATTTTGACTGACTTGATATTCAAACGGACTAACTCAAACTGCATAAACTCCATTTCAAGTACAGCTTTAAAAATATGCCCCGAGGTAGCCAAATAAATTAACACATTGAATTTAGTACCCAACAGTGAACTTCCTCCTGCCTCTCCCAGAATTACTGGCTGCTCCTTCCAAAATGACTTCTAGTTTGTGATAAGATCACAAAATCATAAATAAAAGGAAGAGGAAGACATTGTTCATTCACTATAGCAAAGAGCATTTAAGTGGTAACATCTAAGACAAAGCCAGGTTATTAAAGGGGTATTTAAGTGAAGAATGGACTATACAGTAGACTAGATATGGACCTAAAGCTAGGGCTAGAATTTACTCTGTTTAATACTAACTTCTCTGCACTCATTCATATGAAAGATTCTTATTAAGATATTATAAGATTGTGGATTTGGTTGAGTTTTTTTAAAAAAATATTTTTATCTTGCTTGACTAACAAATAGATAACTACCACTCCTTTCTCTAAAAAAAGCAAAACAAAAAAACCCAACAAACCACCTTTCCTCCTTATTCTTCACACAAATTCCCAAGGATAGGGAATATAAGATTTCTCTCCTTTTTAAATGTTTTGTTCAATAAAAATGGTGGCTCATAATTTGGGTGAGATAAGGTTCAAAATTGGGAAGGGCGTACGCCAGGGATGCATCCTATCTCTATACCTTTTCAACCTCTTTGCAGAACAGATCATGCGGGAGGCTGGGCTCTATGAGGAGAAATGTGAGGTCAAGATTGGTGGGAGATCTA